GCCAGCTCAGAGTCCTTGACATTTTTATCCTGGAACTATGGCAACATGGTTCGTGGTCAGAAATACACCACGCCAAAGTTTCTCCAAGGACTTGATCGTGCAATGAAGCCACGCAAGCAGAGTGCCATGTCACTTCAATATGAGCAGTTTGAAAACAACCGTTTCTTCAACATGCTCTTCTTTTTACGTGCACATGTCGTGATTCTCCAGGAAGCTCAGCTCCTTGTTCCTGCCAAGGAATTCATTGAGCAAAAGAATTGGTCAGTTTGTTTCAATGATTGGGAGAATCTAGCAGTGATGGCTAGATTGGCACCAGATGGCTATATCAAGATCATTGCTGGACATGACCAAGACCTTGGTCACTGTCAACAGCGTGATGTAACTTGGGCTATCTATGAGATTTGTTTTGGAGAAACAAGGCCTCGTCAGGACTTCAAGGATGCAGACTATGAATTTGAGGACTATGGTCCTAAGGAAAAGCGTGTTCCACTTACTCGAGCGAACATGCACACCATCAGAGTCTGTAATTATCATGTTGATACACATCGTGCTGTGGATGCCCACCTACTGACAGGAGAACAGACAGCATTGATGCTTTATGAATGTTTTGTATATGAGGTGGACATCATTTCTGGTGATGCAAATAGTTTGGCCTACAGAATGTCTGGATACAAAAGGCAGCCAATGGCTAACTATTATTACAGCACCATGCAGCATTGGATTCGCAAGTTTTCAGAAGCCCGTGTAAAAGCAGATCCGGGTATCAAAGCACCTATTCCCAGAACATCTTACAGTTAATCTTCACTTGTCCTCAAGCAGTGTGAAGATTACTTTGAGAAACTCTGGGAAGAATACTCTACAGAAGAGAAAGAAGTGTACCAAGGATCAAAGCTTGGCGATACATGTTTGTCTACCATTGTGGAATGGGGTCATTCAATGAGTGGAGAGGAATATGCAAATTCCACAGTGAGCACGAAGGAGTTCGTCTGTAATTTTTCAGAGAACTTTGCTTTGATTGACACGGAGGTCATGTGCTCTAAACCCTCTGACGATGACAGTCATGGTCCAATGTTTATTTCACTCAGACCAGCTTCCTTTTCATCTGGAGACAGAAGACTCTATCGCTCGGGCGAGACTCTTAGAGATGCTAACTTGCGGAGGAAGGAGAAACAGAAAGAGAATAAAAGGAAAGGAAGGCCGCCAACTTCTGGTCAAGCAGCTCCATCGACTGCAGCGGCATAACATTCAGAGCGGAGGCTAACTTTTAATGATAGCTTGGGAAGCGAAGATACTTCTGATCACAGTTGATACTTTGCTTCCAGGCTTGACTTTAAGTTGCCAGGCTGAAGTTTTAATGAATTCTGGTTTGCAACGAGGAGAAACTTTTTGTCAAAGAAGATACTCCTGCATTCCAGATTTATACGCTTTAGCATGCAGATAAATACAGTTTACTAAACGGTTATTATCTGCAGGTAGGTATGGACAGTTTTTCAGAACTGATGATAACTACCACAGTCGCTCTTTTGAAGTGACCTCTAATGAACAACCATTCATGGTTGAGGATTAAGTCATTTCATAAGTTTGCATTTGTAGTGCAATTTTTGTACATACATTTGCCGGTGTCTCCTTCCTTGTGTTTTTGATGTCGATGAGAAAGAGTCTTTTTGATGCAGTTTAATTTTGTGTAAGTCCTGTGTATGGAAGCGGCCGAGACCACTTTTAGAAAAGAACATTCCTCGGACCGAGAGTTGACGCTCCTTGCATTTTGCAAGGCATCTGAATTCGTTGCATTTTGTGCGGTCTTGAATTTTTAGTTCTTCGTTACGCGAGTGTCGTTTACTGCTTTTACAGGTCTCTGTGTAAGAAAGCCGCTTTCCTTTGAATTTAAGTTTCTTTGAAGCTCTGGCTATTTAAGGGCTATTGAGCGCCGGTAAATGGTATCTTCGCCGGTGAACGATACAGTCTCCAGCCGAGATACATTGTCTTTGACTTTGTATTTGAGGTGAGTCAGCTATTGCTCCCTCACTGTATTTAGTAGACCTAGAGATTACCTTTTCTAAAGTGTGAAACACACTGGAATTGGTAAGTACAGGGCACCGTGGTTTCCTTTTAAGCTTACTAGAGCTTGCTGGACTGTTTTAGCCTTACGGTAGAAAAATAGTGTGCGACATACGCAATAGGCAGGAGTGGACATGAATTTTGTGCCTGCTGAAATGTAGAGGCCTACTTGTACAGGTTCCACTCCAGTGGCCTATCTAGTGTGTCCATGCTTGACTGCCTCAAGGCTCAAGAAGACTAGAGGATAAGACTCTGCGCATAAAAGACACTAGCGGTCTGCACCTCAACCGTGTACGCCCTAGTCACTCTTTCACCCCCACCCCCCACCCCGCCTTCGAAGACCCCCTACTTCAACCCCCACGACCGCCCCGCCCACCCGTCCGGTGGAGGTCCGTCTTCGCCTCCGCCGATCGGACCAAAGATGCCACCCGCGCTCTTCGCGACCTCGCAGGGGTGGTAGTCCGGCATCGGCAGATCCTGGGAGCCGTGAGCCGGCATCTTGAAGCTCTTTTCGGGGGGGGAGTCATGATTCATGAGATTCATGCACGCCCTCTAAATTGGGTTTGCCCAGGCAATTACTTGCGCCAATTTCCATCTTGAAGTCTGGACTCGAACGTCACGCACACAACTTCCCCCTTCCGACCCCCTTCCGCCGTCCGGGACCCGAGTCGTGCTCCTGGGTGGAGGGCTCAGCCTCGAGCCTCGAGATCTCCGTCACAGTCTCATCCTCCTCGTTCTTGAAGGTCTCAGACACCTCATGCTTCGCCACGCGGTGGGTGTCTACACGAACGATCATACGATCTGACTTGGCTTTGGACGGACCGGGAAACCCCTGAACTAAACATGGGAGAACCTGATGTGACCTGGATGGCATGACACCGATTTTGGATGACCATGAAATCCGAATACCTACTTGCATGATTATGTCAAGTAGTGTGTAGTTGTTCCTTCTCGGGAGCCCTGGCAGATAAAATGTGAGATATGGCCCGCCACCTCACTGCGCCACTATGGACGTGAGGGTCCCAACAAACTGCAGATACCAACTCCCCAACAGGCACCCCCGATTAAGTACCTGTGGTACATGGCGGTACCACAGGTCCCACATGTATCACGCGCGCGCGACGTGGGGCGCGTGATCCGAAGCGGCGACCTAACTCGTCCACGCGGCTTCCTTCCAAAGGTTCTGATAGTCCAAACACTCCGCGGCATACTTGGGTTGTTCCGCCTTGAACACTTCCAACTTGGGCATGGGAGGCTGCCTCGGAACGAAGGGCGAGAACTCACTCACCCGGCGCAGGCGGAGAGTTCGCATAGTCTGGCTGTGGCTGAAGGTTGACAGCCGGATCTCAAGGAGGGAATCCATCCATCACAATCGCCTCCTGAACCTCTCAAAAAGATGTGTTTTCATCATTTTTCATCCCAGTCTTCTCGTTCTCCCAAAAACAGCTCCGAACTGCAACCCTTACTCCTGTGCCCTTACTCTCCTGCCGCGGTTCACCTCACCGAACTCGTTCCATCTGCACCGAACGAGACGTGTCCCCCGCTGACCGAGCTCGTCGTCTTCGTGTGTTGAACACGAAGAGCGTCTGACTCTCAGGACTCGAAGAGAAGGCAAAGCTACACCAAACGGAGGTCGAACTGAGTCGAACTGAAACAGATCAGCCATGATCAGCCATGGCTTTTTGTTGCCGTTTGGGTTTCTACTAGGCAGATGCCAATCTGGAGGCTGACATGGAGACGAGACTTGGAGACTTGGCGGGGTCACGTTGTCGGAGCGAGTCGGAGAAAGGCAAGAAGACGGTCACCGACTCTCCAGTCTTTGGGGATGGAAGAAACTTCTGAAAACTGTGTGCGCCATAGACATTCTACCAAAAAACGATGGAAAGCATAGACCCCAAACAGTTTCAGCATTATTTGTTTGGCGTCATCTCCTTGAATTCCATTGTTGAACCCTAAGAGAGAACCCCAACAGTGAACTGTTTGGGGAAAACACTGAAACATTAAACATGGATATGGCTCGAGACTCCAAAGCGGCGCAGGCTTCAAAGCTGCGAATCCTTCAACAGGTCTTCCAAGTGTGCTTGGGCTGGGGCCCTAGGTTTTTGAAGTTGTGACCTGTTCGAGGGTCCTGGTGTGCTCCAGTTTTGGATCACATGTAGATGAAGAGTGATGAAGTAAGGACTAGGACTAGGATGCAATAACTTTTACATCACCATGGGAGTCAAAGACTCGGAGCTTCCTTGCTTCCAGGGTCAGATCAATGACTTCCCCATCTTCCAAACGTCGCCCTTTGCAAAGGATCCGCGAAGTCCCACGGTTCTCCCCCCGCCCCTCTCTTCTCACAGACCGGTGACGGCGGGCGTTTGGGTGGTTTGAGCTTCAACACCTCTTCCAGCGAGAGTTTCTTCACCCCATCTCCTGTGCATCGTTTGGGAGCCGATTCTGGAGAGATTGGAGAGTCTCTGATTCAAGAGGCTTGAAGAAAACACATTTCTCTCTAGAGAATCTCATCGTGCGAAAGAAAAATCCGTTGTCGAGAGCAAATTTGTTCGTTCCAATGTTTTTCATTCCCCAAACACCTCCTGAATCGACACAGTCCGCCCAAATTACCCACCAGTTTATTTCGGGCAGCCCTACTTCCTCCATCCCGGCTTGACTTCCTTATTATGCTTTCCGCAAAAGCACATACGTCCCCTCCCGACATCAACCAACGACACGTAGACCGAAATCCTTCTCCAGGGGATCCAGTTACCACTATAGCTGGTAAGGCTGACTGTAAGGCTGGTAAGCAGTGGTTCCAAAAACTAAAACCGACCAAACGAGGGCCCTGGTTCTTTATATAGTAACTGGGATCCACTGGGTGTGTGTTTGAAGAAGAACACCCAGCCTGGCACCCCGGCACCCAAAAACTCCCCATCGAAGTCCGAGACGTTCACCTCGGTGGGTGGTGCGCAACAACGACCGAGGGAGCTACACGACGCGAACGAACGCGAAACCAAACGCCGGAGCTCCTCGTCCAAGCAAACTTGGTTGAGCTAACAGGACCGAAAATTACCAAACGCCCTCCCAAAGTGCCATCCAAAAAGGATCGATGAGCCATCCAAAAAGGGGAGTGATATAGGCCCGGCTGACCCGGTTGAACAGGGTTGACCCAGTTGACCCGGTTGAATCCAGTTGACTAGTGGTAGTGATAGTGGCAGTGGCAGTGGCAGTGGCAGTGGTAGTCGTAGTAGCAGTAGTAGTAGTAGTCGTCGTCGTCGTGGTGGTAGTAGTAGTAGTCGTCGTAGTGGTAGTAGTAGTAGTAGTGGTAGTAGTAGTAGTAGTTGTTGTTGTAGTAGTAGTAGTACTGGGTTTAGTAGTAGTAGTAGTAGTAGTAGTAGTAGTAGTCGTCGTCGTCGTCGTCGTCGTCGTGGTGGTGGTAGTGGTAGTGGTAGTGGTAGTAGTGGTGGTAGTAGTGGTGGTAGTAGTGGTGGTAGT